AGTTACAAACACCAAGACACAACCACGAAGAGGCTTACCGCAGAGAACGGTAATTAGAAGACCTCTTTTGCTGATCATGCCTTGAGCCAAACATTGTCGTAACTTGCTATGCGAAACTGAACATGCACAGCCTACCGCGTGAGTCCTAAAAGCTATGCTTTACTACACCACTACTAGGGGCTTAGGGGTCGATATTTCTTAACTTTAAAACTTCCAGATTATCACTAAGTTATATAAGAACCCAGAGAAAGTCTAAAGGTTGGGTGTTGGGGAACTACGCGATTAAGGTTTAGGTTTAACGTAGGGGCCTCAATAATTAGAAGAGGGTTTTAGGGGTTCCTTATTTTTATTTATAGTAGCAGATACCCCAAACCCTATTCTAATCATTAAGGCCCCTACATTAGGGTTCAAGGTTTCGGATCTGGGCCCTTACAGGCTTTAGGCTTGGGGGATACTTAGGGTCAAGGGTTTAGGGCTTCAGGGTGTAGGGTTCAGGGCTTAGGGGCCTGGGACCCTCTGGGGCATAAGGCTTGAGGGGACTTAGGGTGAAGGGTTCGGGCCTAGCGGCCTAGAGGCCAACACAGCTTAAGCTTCCAGTTTTATGAGTGGCTACATGACGGCAAAAACTTTATTTAAGGTGTGCTAGTCAAGTTGAGTATGTCAGATAGGCTCTAAACCCTAAGCCCAAACCCTAAACCCTAAACCCTAAACCCTAAACCCTAAACCCTAAACCCTAAACCCTAAGCCCTAAACCCAAAGCGGCCGTCAGCTTCTTGCTGTCGGTCCCACTGCACGCCTCCATGCCACGGAACGTGTCCATCCGGTCGAGGACATTTTCAGGTTTAGGGTTTAGGGTTTAGGGTTATAGAAGGTCTATATACCTTCTAGAAGCCTTATAGAAGCCCGATATACCCTAAACTCCCCACCTGTAGTTTCCTTTAATGCGGATCCTGCCTTCGCACTGGCACCGGCTTTTGGCCTGTTGTGTGCACGCCATGCCTCGTGTGCAGCCTTTCGGCGAGCTGCCTCCAGCATGAACTGCCTTAATGAGTAGGATCTGGTTTTGGGGCCCATTGTACTATAATTATATTTAGGGTTTAGGGTTTAGGGTTTACCCCCAAAAATACTGTAGGTAGTTATTTAGCCCCTTCAGTACAGGTTGGCGAACTGGCTTTTGTCCAGGTCCTGCATCATAGCAAGCACGGCTTCGTCGTCGTTGATCAGCAGAGCGCGCAACAACTGATGCGGATCTTGTAGATCCTGGAACTGGTAACTGCCTGATGTCCGAAAGCCGTCGGACAGTAGGAGTGATGCTGAAGGTGCAAGGAAGGTTTGGGCGTAGATGGCGACCACGGCTGTTATCAGGTCTCTGTGGGTCTGGCGGTCCGTAGGGAGTCCACGTAAGCCCCGGACCCCAAAAGCCTTAAACCCTAAACCCTAAACCCTAAATCTGAGAGTTGAGGGCCTTATTACAGATATTAAGGGCCCCCTACTCCCCTCTCCCCTACGCCCCTAAGGGTGCTTGTGATCTAGGCAGAAACCCACAGAGCCCAATACCCCTTAATGAAGGAATATACCTTAACATGTAAGGGGCTTCATATGATGATTTAGGCTATATTCCTTAATTAAGGGGTACTGGCCTCTCTAGAAAGCAACGGGGAGCCTAATGCACTACAGCAAGTCGTCTCAATCTCACACGCTGTCACCAACGTATGTAGGACTTGAACACCTTTATGAATTTTCCCTGTTCTCGCAGCAGACCTCGTTTAAGCACGGGAAACCCTCATCCCAAGCAGAATTTGCGACTTTGGGCGGGGACATTTGCGGGCTTGTCGGCACTAGACCTGCTCTTTTCGTGGCAAATGAAGCAAGTAGTAGCAGGTTCACGACCTGGTGAAGCTCTAAACATACACGGCAACATGGGGCTCAACCTGCCGCAACAGGTCAGGCATGGTTGCTGTGCTGCAACATGTCGACAAAGAATGTGTTGTGGCATGCCTAGATGCGAACGCTGAAAAATAAACCCAGCGACAACCGCGTGCCGCACCCCCCGCACTGGAGTTCATTCAGACAAGTGCTGCACTGCTGAAGACCCGAGAAAAATATGAGGATTACAACCGCATGCCAGGTCCATTGAAGGCAAGTCACCGTGCCCTTGGACTGCAACCAGAACCTCAAGTGTTGTTCCCCGAGCAGAAGCATGGGTGCAGGCTTGGCATCGCAGGTTGGGGACCACCCGGCTACCGCTAACATTCAAAGCCCTGTGCTCCGTCCCCCTAAGGGTCCAAGTGGCCAAAAATAGTAGGGTCTCAAATTCCAAAACCCATTCAGAGTATGGATTTTGGCACCTAAAACCTTCAAGAAGCAAGAACGCATTCACAGATTCATCCTGCCGGGGGTTGCATCTCAGAGTTTCAATCAATGTCACAGGCTGTGAAAAAGAGAACGTTGCGAATCGAAGTCTAAACCCTAAACCCTAAACCCTAATCCTGCTTTGCAAAGGACCTTTACCTGCTTGAAGCTCCATGATGGCTCTCACTGCAGACACAGTAAAACAGAAACCAAAGAGCCAGTTAATTAAACACAATATACATATATGCACTTAGGCGTATACCTAGCTGTTTGTTCGTTTATGTAGTTGTTTGTATGTACCTACCTCTACAATTGTATGCACATGTTTGCACCCTTGCACGCATGCGCATTTGCATACATGAATGCATGCATAACCATACGCATGTACGTACATGTTTTTATCCGAAAGCTCATCGCATCAGTCGGGGTACTCCCAATCTCAAATTCACCCTGAGGCCTTTGCCCCGTCGGGTAAACCCTCAAACCAAATAACCTAATGTAGGGGTCTTAATACTTAGAATAGGGTTTTGGGGTATACTATAGTTATAATACGGAACCCCCAAAATAGTATAGGTAACTATGAAGGCCCCCCTATATTAGAACACTAGGACGTTTTAAAACCTTAAACCCTACAGCCCGAAGACCTGAAACCCCTAATGGTGACGGGGAGCTGTGGGGACCGGCCGCTGGTAGAGCTGCGGGCCTGGCTGCAGAGGTTTTGGGTTTAGGGGGGGTTTAAGGGCTAAGGTTTTACTGTTTTGAGGGTTTCGGCTTTTAGGGGGTTGAGTTTCGGTGTACGGCATATTCTCGTAGGGCACGGAGCAGTGAGGATTTGGAGGCTCAGGCCGTTTCGGGTGGTTTCGAACCCTCCCCTACCCTCAGAAGACAGACATGCCTCTGTTGCCATCGGACTTATCTAGACCTCTTCTCTTCTGCTTCTTCCATAGCTCTTCATGCTGTGATTCTCAACAGTAGACCAATATTGCAGTGACCAGCGGTAGTAAGTAGAAACTAGAAGCCAAGGACCCGAATTCTGCTCGGAGGCTTCTTGGCTTACTAGTTTACACCTAGGGATGTAGGGTTTTTGTAGTTCAAATCCTAAACCTTAAACCCTAAACCTAAGGTTTTAGGTGTCCTCATGTAGTTGCACCCGCTGGGCTTGCGCGGCTCGCAACTTGCTGTTGGGATGTTCGTTTTTGGACTAGGGTTTAGGGCTTAGGACTTGAGTGCCAGGGCATCCCAGCTTCCCCGCTTTTGCGGTGGCCGGACAGAAGTAAAGAAAAGTTAGGCTTTGGGGTTTGGGGTTTAGAGCTTTGGGTTTAGGGTTTAGATGTTCATGCCTGTTCTGCAAGTAGAGCCTTTAGTGACTTTAGTGCAGCAGTGCTGGTAACTCAAAAGGGCCTGTGGTGATACGTTCACAATGCGGTATACCGATCAAGAAAGAAAACTCAATAACTAATAGCATACTGGCGAGCAAATTCATACATGAAGAAACGCAAATGCAAGATTGCATAAACAAGTATGTGGGTATATATATATATATACACATACAAACACGTGTGTATTTATAACTGCTCTAAGCCCAAGGATCATGGAAAGATCTCGCCTCGGTGATAAGAGCTGCCTGGCTCTGTGGTGGTGTCACCTCAGATTCAAAGCGTGTTCAGGCGTTCGCCTGAACCCCAAACCCCGAACCTCTTCGCCTTTTAGAGTGGGGTGTTCAAGTGCTCCAAGAAAGGAAATCAGGCGTGGCGTGTTCCAAACGAGCCCAGTACTGCTTGATTAAGGAATGGATCTTAAATTGTATGGGGCTGCATAGTATAATTTAAGCTAGAAATCCTCAATTAAGGGGTATTGGGCTCTCTGGATGTTTCAATTTGTGCACGCCTGAACTGCTAGGTTGGCGGTTACAAGCCCCTTGAACAAATCGTGAATAATATCCTCTTTCGTGCAATAAGTTAGCAAAGGGTAGATTGCAAAAGGTCCCAAACGCCTACCTAACAAGCACTGGTGACATCGACGTCGCACCCTCGCAGAGTCGAGTCATCGAGCATGCTGGAAACCAGACCCGGAAAAAGTCTGCACCCAGAGGGGGTTCTTCGAATGCCCTTGCTAAAGCACCCTTTAAACGCTTAACCCTAAACCCTAAACCCTAAACCCTAAACCCAGCATTGCAGCAGCGGCACACGGGCGGCAGCGAGCACGAGCAAAGTGCTCGTGAGCAGAATCTGCATTGTAGCCTGGGTGGCGTAGGATTATGGGTTTAGGGTTTAGGGTTTAGGATTAGGTAGAAGCCCAAAAGTTGGAAACCCCATAGCCTCAATCCTTAAGAGCCATATATAGGGGATCCCAGCACTATTTGGCCTTTATCCGGTTTCCAGCTTTATGGGGCTTACCCTAAACCCTAAACCCTAAACCCTAAACCTACTGTAGGGGTTTAGGACACAGCTTCGGGATTCAGTCAAGCAAGCTCCGGTGCAAAAGAACGGTGCTCTGGTCAGGCGATGGAGCTTCAAGTTTAAAGTTTAGCTCGGTGGAGATGTTGCAAGGGCCTGAACCCTAAACTTAAACCCTAAACCCTAACCCTAAACCCCGAAACCTAAACCGGTCTCGCAATATCCGGTTTCTGTGACACGTCCCGCAACTTGCAGCCAGACCTCCCACTGGAAGTGTTCTTGCAAGGATGGAACTTCACAAGGCTTTTCCAGGGCAGGGGGTTTAGGGTTTAGGGGTTTAGGGTTAAGGGCAGGGTCTCAACGGTTGATGATATAAATCCTGCATTACCCAGAAAAAGGAATATACCATAATTCACATAGTGTAGGGTTTAGGGTTTAGAGTTGCCCAGAATAAGGGATATACCATAATTCCCAGAGTTTTGGGTCCGTAAGGCAATGCAGGACTTCTCTTATCAACAGCATTTTGGCTTTAGAGCTAAACAGACCCAGCGTATCCAAGCAACGAAAGCAGAGAATGTGGCAGCTGCTGATGAAGTCTAGCACTGCTACGGTCCTCTGCAGGAACTGAGCCGAAAGAGCAACGTAAACGGAGTTCAACAGAATGCAGGCAGCAGGGTGGGAGACTTGGCAACCACCTATCAGCTTATTCCCCGCTGAAGGCAGGAAGATGATGCTCTAAGCCGTAGAGTCTGACATTATGGAAGCGTTCTTCCACTCCAAATGCTCTTGCTATGTGCTAGGAAGCACCTGTGCCGTGGAGAGCTGCTGAACATCTAGGTTCACTCAGTGGTAACCAGGAAACCCCAAAACAAAAAGATACCTGGGTACTACTACTAGAAGAGCTTGCGCAAGAAGCAGACTGAAAGTGCGAGAACGCCATGCTAGAGGGGGCTTGACGCACTTGGAGGAGCGAATGGAACGGACCAAACACAACTTTCAAGAGTGTCCAACCAATGCATTGTGTGTATGCGTATGTATGTCTGCCTGTAGGTATCCAGGCATGCACGCATGTAAGTATGTATGTATGCATGCATGTACATATCTAGATGTGTAGGTATATCGTCATGTAGGCATGTAAGCATGTAGTCGTGTAAGTAAGTAAGTAAGTAAGCAAGTAAGTGTGTATGTGGACTATAGGTGTGGACATGCGCATGTGCAGACACATTTGCATACGCAAAATGGTATAAACATATATAAGCACACACACACACATATATATATATATACATACATATATATATATATACACACATACACACACACACACATAAACACGCACATTGTAAACAACGCACGGACTAGCGGCGAACTTCGGTCTGCTTTTTTCCGCCCAGGCGTAGCTCGGTAGGTTTTCGATTGTCGGATGTGAGCACACAGCCGTTCGTGGGTTGGTCTCTCGCAAAAGCTAATTACACCCTAAACCCTAAACCCTTAATATAGGGGCCTTAATATTTGAGCACATGATACTATATATCTATAATGAGGAACCCCCGGAATAATACTGGTAACTACTTAGGCCCCTATATTAACTCTAAATCGTTGTAGTTGAGAAGCCCGAATATCCCTGGACCCGCCATCTCCACCTCTAAGTCCGAAACGCAAATCCCTGAACCTGAGCTTCGAATCTGCAAGGGTCTAGGGTTTAGGGTTTAGGTTTTAGGCTTGAGGTATTTTCTGTGGTCACGGATCCGTTTTGTCTGCAGGAAACCCCGCAGCGGGTTCTTTAGGTGTCGGCGGCTCCTTTGGAATCCGCACACTCCTGGGAACGCTGGCGAATACACTACAAAGAATGGCAAATGAATCAATATCTTATCATTCAGTGATCTTCCTCCAAATGCCCTCCCGCGCAATCTATTTTTGTGCCAACACAAAGTCCGACACGGCCTAAGAAGCGACCCTCACGTCCAAATCGGTTCAAGTTTGCAGGTAGTGCCGCTTCGGGATATGGGGTTGAATATGTCGACCTCCAGGGCTACTCAGGCTTCACAAGGTTGTGGTTTAGGGTTTAGGATTTAGGGTTTAGGGTTTAGGCTTATGTTGTAACCCTAAACCCTAAGCCGTGAGGGTTCAGGGTTGTGGTGCATATTGCAATCTAAGCCCATTCACGAAACCCTATGACATGATGTGGGTAATTCTTTAGGCGCTTGGAAAAGACAGGGTAATGTAGGGGCCTTAATAGAATAGGGTTTTGGGGTATATTATGCTATAATTATAGTAAGGAAACCCCCCAAAAACCCTAGTCTAACTATCAAGGCTCCTATATTATAATACCAAACCCTAAACCCTAAACCGTGAGTTCGTCCGTCCATGTCCTTGGGCCACAGTGTCCCAGGGTCGCTAGGTGCTTGGTCGGTCTTTGCTGCCGTGAGTACTGAAAGATGCTCAACCTCAGCTCCTGTGAAGACAGCAGCCGTTCACGGTTCAGGTTTTAGGGTTTAGGGGTTTAGGGCTTAGGGGTTAGGGTTTAGGGTTCAGGGTTCTAAGGTTTCAGGGTTTAGGGTCTAGGGTTTCGGGGTTAGGGTCTGCCACCTGCAGCACAATCGACAAGAACACACCACCACGACCACAAGGATGGCGACGTGAGCTGCTGCACCCCACAATCTTTTCTACAGCAACAGCAACTACTACTAGTACTGCTCGTGCTACTGCCACTGCTACGACTCTTTCTTTTTCTTCTCGCCGCCATCCTCCTCCTCCTGTTTTCCTGTTGTTGTTAGTTTTCGTTCTACTGCTCTTCCTGCTCATGCTCCACATCTTCGTCGCTCTTAATTCGGCCTAGTCTAGCACTGTTATTCAGCACTTCCTAAGTGCGCGCTCAATCGGGAACAAGAACCCACATGCAGGAGGTGGAAGCTTTGGGTATCTAAGCCGTGTCCGGAGCTTCTCACAGCAAAAACAGCAGCAAAGACCCAACAAGTGAGTAAATTCCTGGTATTGCGTTTGTTGCATGATTGCCTGATTGTCACGGGCTGTTCTAGGCAGCTTGCGGCAATCTGGCTCCGTGGGAAGACGTCCTGAACCCACGAAGAACCAAAGAACATCCTCAACTCGATAGAATAACACAGTGGCACCCTGCAAGGGAGCATGCCCGAAAACTGCTCCGACCCTGGACTAGAACCTACAATTTCTATATCCTACTGACATACAGGCGTCTGATCCCATGGAGGATTTTCCGTTTTGCTGGGTTTCACCCACAAAGCTGGCGAATTAACGTATGGAGAAGCTTCTCCCAGCCTGACGAAAGCCATGAGCTACATACATACAACAAACTCTTGCAGAAAGCAGCCGCAGTATCCTCCGCTGGAATGCCAAACAAGATAAAGCTTCTAATGTAGGGGCCAAAATAATTACCAATACTATGTTGGGGTATCCTTATTATAAATATAGTATACTGGGCCCCAACACCCTGTTCTAATTGTTACCGGCCACTATACTATTCCAGCAGTCTTCCGACGATGCTTCCATCTGAAGCAGCCCAAACCCTGAAGAACTCTTCAATTGCTTCGGGCTGGGAGTTGGAAGCCCCTTAATGAAGACGATTCACTGAAACACAGCATGCCACGACTCCCGACGATGCATCTTCTAACTTACTTCCCCAATAAGCCAGGGAAATAACAGATTAAACTTTCAGAGTACTACTAAGGTTTAGGGTTTAGGGTTTAGGGTTTAGGGTTTAGTGCTAAATTGTATGAACCCAAAAAGTTTAAATAGCTTGCATGCTTGAAGCAGGAGCAGCCTCCCGACAGAAATCATGAAGCCTCACTTCCACTCCAACCTTCATTTTCCAGTTGCCAGAGTGGCCTTGTAGGACCTGAGCTTCTGAGCAGTCGGTACGGCTTCGAGACGAGATGCGCAGGGTTTAGGGTTAGGGTTTAGGGGTTTAGGGTTTTGGACTTTAGGGTTTATTTGGGTTCTTGTTAAGGAGCTTGGTTTAAGCTACCAAAATAGACCTATAGTCGTGAACATGGTTTCCTTATTGTGGTACAGTAACTTAAACCCTAACCCTAAACCGTCTGAAACTAGACCTACACCCTAAACCCTCCTAAGCTTAAGCGCTATCAACTATCGGCACCCGACTTCTGGAGTTTTGGCAAAGCCGGGCCACGGGTTAGCCGTTGATTTTTTGTGGCGAGGGCCTTTTTCCACAGCAAATCCGGGTTAAGGTTTAGGATTTAGGGCTTAGGGTTTAGGGTGAAGAATGGTCCTCGTCAGTCTGGTGGTTGTAGTAAGCACCAGTACTAGCAACAGCGGTCGGACAGTAGCAGTACAGCAGCAGCAACTGGAACCGGCCCTTCGCAGCACAGCACTCACAGGCTTAGGATTGGTATCTTGTCAGCGGTACTTGTACTAGCATCAGTAGCCGCAACAGCGGCAGCAGCATCGTTGTTGCATTCGTCACGTCTCCGTTGTTGTCATCGTCGCGGTCTTCTAATCGCTGCCGCCGCCACCACCACCGCTGTAGAGCTGGCATCAGGTGCAGTAGTACAACTAACAAGAGTACCAGGACCCAGAGCAGTTGCACCAATAGCAACAGAAGCAGGAGAAGCACCTGCCACCCTAGCGTAGTCGTCTGGAGCTTCAGCTATCAGAACACATAATCGTCGTGAAGGCAGTGGTAGCAGAAAGCGGTGGTAGTTTTAGTTGTCGTAGCTGTAGTTATCTTCGTAGCAGCAAAGCAAAGCAGCTAACGAAAAGGACAACAGCGACAGGTGATAACATCAACAATCAAGTCAAGGTGCGAGCTAACACCAGGCTGTCATTGACGATACCAATGCCAATATCGGTTTCAATATCAATGGGAAGCATCGTGGCAACAGCTAGAGCGTAGGACTGCAGACGGAAGCTGCTATGGCCGTGACAATGAGACAGGTAGGGCAGGAACAAGGGGTGAGATGCTCTATCCAGCGCGAGAAGAAACGAGCCGTGAATTCCAGCGCCTAAACCCAAAACCCAGAACCCACAACCCTAAAGTCCTAAACCCCAAAGCCCTAAAACCGTAAACCCTAAAGTCCTAGACCCAAAACCCTAAAACCGTAAACCCTAAAGCGAAAAACCCTAAATTCGGAATCCCCAGGACCGAGCCCAAAGTCCCATTGCAAGCAGCTCTGAAGGATACTGTAGGGGCCTTAACGACTAGAATAGGGCTTGGGGTTCAGGGTTGAGGGTTGAGTGGAACATTATACTATAATTTGAATAGGGTTTGGGGTTTACGGTTTAGGTTTTAGGGTTTAGGGTATATTTTGCTATAATTAGAAGATAGGTAATTATTAAGGCCCCTATATTGGACGATCCCGTTTCCCGATGCAACAAACAAGGCGTAGCCGGGCAACACCACTACTGGGTTTAGGGTTTAGCGTTTGGGCTTTTAGGGTTCAGGGTTTAGGGCGTCGGGTTTAGGGTCTGGGGCTACATGTCTACATGTGCTGACGGAGGTGCAGCTGCCAACTGTCTCGCACCTTTCGGGTGATCGCTCTCTCCTCGGTGCATGCAGGGCCCTGCGTGACCCTAAACCCTAAACCTGAAACCGGTTTAGGGTTTAAGGCTTCGTGCCCCAAACCCGAAAGCCCTAAACTAACACCGCCCACCTCATCTCAAGCCAGAGCAAGCCGACGACCCAAAACCGCTGAAGGCTGGGTGGCATGGTGTTCCGAGTGCCCGACCGACTACCCAAGGATACTATACTAATACTATAGGGCTTGGCATAAAGGATACCATAGTCTATGGCCTTCATAATGTACTATACTATAATAATAGTATGGAACCACCCTAAACCCTAAACCCCAAAGGCCCTTACATTAGACGAAGGAGATCCGCCACGAAATTCGACCCGGGGCTTTTAACGCCTCGACCTCGGACTTGACAAAACTTGGAAGTGTCAGCTTAGGGTTTAGGGGTTCAGGGGTTAGGGGTTAGGGGTTAGGGGTTAGGGTGGGGGTTTAGGTTTTAGGTTTTAGGGTTTAGGGATTAGGGGTCAGGGCCTGGGGTTTTAGGGGTTAGGGTATAGGGTTTCAGGGTTTAGGGTTTAGGGTTTAGGGTTTAGGGGTTTGGGCTTGGGGTTCTAGGGGCTAGGGTATAGGGTTTTAGGGTTTAGGGGTTAGAGGTT